TTTTTTTACTCTATTAAAAAGTCTAAAATCTATAATATAAAATATTTTTGTTGTGCAAATCTCTGTAAATAAGTTTTTATGAATAAATCAACTTGAAATCCAAAGTAGCTAATGCTTTTTTTACTTCTAATCCAAGCTAATTACTATTGAGATTTAACATTGTTAAGAAGAAGTTCTTGCAAAGTGTATCAGCTAATATTTTTCCTCTTTTGGATTTAAGTTAATTTTTATCAAAATCTAATATTGGAAAAGTTCTTGCAAAGTGTATCAGCTATACAGTACAAAATATTCAATTTACTCTTTTATTCTAATTATGATACTTGTTTAAGATTTTTTCATAACAAACCTTTTATTGCAAACTTTATAATAATAATATAATCACTATGATCATTTCTTGACACTTTTAAACAGTTTAGAAATAAAGAGTTTTTATAACTAATTTTACTGTAATTTTTTAATTTCTAGATAAATTTTTATATATTTTTGTTCAAATCACTTTAAGTACACTATTTTACTACATATTATTAATTTTATTGAACTAATATGTTCAATATATAGTTGCAAATCCTTTTTTTCTTCTATAATTCTTAGAATAATTTAAATCTCTTATTATCTAATATTTTCTTAACTTCAAGATTAATGATTTGGTGATTTATTAGTTTTAAGAAGACTTTTATATTTTGTGAGCCAATAATTTGCCTTTCTTTGTGCTAATACTATTTCAATAAAATTAAGTAACTAATTTATAACCTATATTAGCAGATTTTTTATAGTATTCAAATACTTTATTATGATTTGACCAACTCACTAAATATTATATATTGCAGTAGCATTAATCAAATCAGCAGATTTCTTACAATGTTTAAATAGTTTTTAGAAATCTATTTCTTCTCTAATTCTATTGTAATAACAAAGACCAACATCATTTATTGCTGCTAAATAATCTAAATTATTATAAAAAATATATATAATTAAAAGCCACAAAAGATATAGCTTATCAGACAAGTTCAATACTAGGTTTTAAAGTTTGTAAACATGTCTAGTATATTTTTTTGTAGTTTAGCTCATCATATGAGTATATAATAAGTTAAGCTACAAAAAAATATACCAGACTAGACCAGACTGTTTGCTAACTTTAGACCAAACTTCAAATATATTTAAACTTAAACTAGTTTGCAAACTTCAAACTAGACTCAAGCCAAACTTATAGTTAAGTTTAAATCTGGTTTGAAGTTTAAAACTAGTAAAATTTAAAGTCTAAGTCTAGTTTGATCCTCAGACCAGACCGAACCCAAATTGATCTAGAAGCACTAACTTAAAGTGAATTTTAGTTATTTTTTTTAAATTTATCAAAAATTTAGCTATCAAATTTTGGTAAAATTTTAAATTAATTTAATATACTCAAATTATTAAAACTAGTTTTAACCTCTAGCACTAAGCAAACTTTTACAAACTATGATTATCTATTTATTTCTTGTGTATTTGAGTGTAGTTTGCAAATTGTAATAATATTTATTAAACTAAATAATTTAAAATTTTAATCACTCTTTCTAATGATCACTCAAACCAAAAATTTTTATTAATAGAAAAATTAAATTTTTGTTAGAAAGTCATAGTCTACTTAGTGGTTTGTTTAAAAGTCACATTTGCTATTGCAAAACTTCTCTAAAAAAATATTTAGCATACAAGCCAAGAGTATTATTATACAAGATAACTAGTAGCCAGTGCTCTTGTATAAAAAATCTTAGTAAAGTATAAACAAAGCCCAACTTCATTAATGAAGTTTTTAGATTATTACTTCAATGAAGAATATAGAAGAAACAACAAAATATATATTTTTTTTAAGCCACACTCTTTCTACTTAGTCAAGTAGTTCATCTCTTACTCTTTTTCATTTTTTTGTTGGTTATTCAAAATTTTTATAAAAAGTGGAAAATTTAACTTATCCTTTTAAAAGATTAGTATTGTTTACTTTCCAAATTCAGACAGACTCAGTAGAATACAACTATGTGATGTGTACTTATAAATATGGTGCTATATTAGGAAAGTTAAAGCAGAACCTCTAGTTAAAGAAATATCCAAAGTTGATTATCATATTAAAAAAGAAAATATATATTAAGGTAAAGCTTTACAGTAGTGACGTATAACTGTTGCATTTGTTATATACTTTTTTCAGCCTTGTACAAATTACAATAGTGCATTCTAGTCATATTGAGAGGTGAAATCTCTTTCAACTTTATATTCTATTTCTATAAAATATTTCTTTTATTTTTTTACTTTTTTTTTTTTTTATATTTTTTTTTAGTTTTATATCTTGTTTATTCTCTCTTTCTCTTTTTTTTTTTATTTTTCTTTTTTTAATTATAGTTCATTTTTTATGTTTTATAAAATTTTTTTTGGATATTTCTAAATCATTTATAAACTAGTAGAACAGGTTATGCTTAGACCTACATTAGGTTTTTAGACTATATAAAATATAAAGCAGAGTTAAATTTTTTTATCTTTAAGTCTTTTAGAATAGCATATTTTTTTTAAAAAATACAATAAAGAGATTTAAGTTACAGTAAGACCTGTTAATAATTAAAAAAAAAAAAAAATTAAAATTCTAATCAAAGAAAATAAAATATACACTATATATAGCCAAATTATATCTGAGCTAGAGTTTGGAGCAGTGTTAAATATTTAATGTTCCCAATGTTTCTAAAAATATTTAAAAAAATTTGAAAATATTAAATTTAGAATTTATATTCTCTTTTAAAAACAAATTGAAAATATAAAAGTCTATAATTTGTATTCTCTATAATGATAGTTTTTGGTATACTATACTTTTTTTTATTTTATTTTTATTAGTTGTAGTATGACATGTATATTTTTTTGTAATAGTATAGTATATAGTATATACTTTTTTTTTAATTATAATACTGTATAATATATATACTTTTTTTTTTGTTGTAGCATGATATATATACTTTTTTCATGAGTTTTTTTTTAGCTATAGGATTAGATTATAATATTGATTTTTTTTTTTAGCTTTAATATATAACTTTGTAGCTGTAATATAATTATTTTTTTAGCTATAGTTTATTATAATACTGTACAATAAGAAAATATTGTATATAGCATGATAATTTTAAAGAGTCATTTAATATTAAAGCTATAAACAAAAATTTAAATATAAACCAATATATTTTAAACATTTAGACTTTAAAATGAATTGACTTTAAAAGCTAAATATTATAAGCTTTATTAACTACACTTTGAACTACTGTAATAATATTTGACATACACTATTTAATACAAATATATATTTTTTGTTTTAGATATAAGTACTAGCAAGAGAAAGTCTACAAGTTGTACTTTTTGAATATTAACTTTTAATAAAAATATTTTAAAATCAGGCAATTTGGTATCTAATGTTCTTAACATTATTTGAACTGTTTTATTAAAATGATTCAAATAATATTAAAATTATAGAAATTAAATTGTTGATTTTAAGATATTTTTTAAAACCAAATTTACAAAATTATAGCTTATATAGATTTTCTCTTGGTAAAACATATTATAATTTACAAATTACAAAGTATTGGCAAATAGCAAAGCAAACATATTAATAAATAGTTAAATACTGAGTAAGAGAAAGAGAAAGAAAGAGAAAATTTAGAAATTTTATTATAGAAACAGTAAAAATTTTTTGGGAACATAAATTTAATATTTTTATGTTCCCAAAGAACAAAAAAAAATTTTCAAATCTTTTTTCACTGGTTTGGAGCCGGTTTATTTTCCATATTATAAAACCGATTAAATCCGGTTTTAACATATAAAAAATAAACCCGGTTCCAAACTCTCCTGTTTACGGTTATTTTTTTAACCGCCCTGGGTGACCCGAGTAGCGTTTTTTTAGATGGATCCAATCAATATAATTATATAGTACAGACTTTTTATGGTTTTTGCTCTCGTGTTCAATATGGAAGCAAAAAAAAAACAAAAAACAAATAAAAACATGATATATGCAGTGTTTAAAATTCAATTGCACAGATCTATATTTTATATATGTTGTGTAGCCTTCTTTTAAAATTTTTAATAAATTTTTTAAATACGTATTCAAAAAAACTCTTGCACATGTGCATCTTGTGCATACCAATTTTAAACACTGGATATATGGTTGCCTAAACCTACATATTTTTAGAAAAATATCGTGAGGTACGTACGTACGTATGTAGGTTATAAGCCGGAAGGCAGCCACGTCTAAGCCAAGCTGATTTAATAATGTCGGCTGGCTAATGCAGCCAAAGATCACATGATTATAAGTAGTATATATTACGAATAAAAAATGAAACTCGACTGGCTTAGCCAGACTAGCCAGACGTCTAAAAAACCATGCGGCTTATAACATTACGTAGTTAATTTAACCTTAATGCCAATCTCGGAATCAACCTAATTTGATAAACAAGACTCCCGATTTAGACATATATTAAATTGTTAATACATGTTAATACATTTATAGTACACACAAATACTAATCTGCTAAATACACACTACTCTTAGATCGCATTTCTTTACCTGTTATAATCACTAGAATATGAAAAAGTTCAACATCCCTAGATCTCGTTTCGGGTATCAGCGTGCAGCTACCAAATATTATTATATTTGGCCAAAATCATATATATAAAAATCCTAATCTGTCAATTGACCGAAATTTTTGGGGGGATTGCAAAAAATAATAATAAAAACAATGATGCTTATCGTTAATAGGCTTGGTATATGACACGTAACAATGAAGTTTTGTATCTGTGCCATATAACATATAGCCTAATTCGTTTGTGAAATCTGACATATGAAACACGAGGTGACACACCATTGTACTTTAATAGTTGAACCAACATCATTTATCATGTGATAGTTAGTTTAAATGATGGCTAGTGTTACTACTATAAATGTTAATCGAGTTTCGACTAACATTGGCGTTTCTTTCTTTGTCGCGGCAGGAATTTTATATCATTATGGATTCCTCAATAAAAAGGTCTTTAACACGAATCGGAAGTCCACAGCCACTAAGGGCAGCTTCTGATACCTTGTCCACAACTAACACTCTTACACCAACTCCAGAACCACCAAAAAATCAAACTAGTAGTACAGCTCCTTCAAACCGACAAAATGTGAAGGTTACGGTTAGAGTGAGACCTCCGAACGCCGTAGAAATGAGCAGAGGTGAAACAGAAATTTGGGAAGTTAACGGCCCACTTGGCAAAGTGAACATACAACCGGATTATATGGAGCGATACAGAAAACAAATGGCCGAATATTATTATGGTAATTAAAAAAATCAATTTATGGAATTTATTAAATTGTGGCTTAAATAATTCAACTTTAACGAACAAAATATTTTATTATGCAGACGAAGTGTTCACTGGTAGTGATAACAAACTATTATTTGAAAGAGGCGTGCGAGATACTGTTAGGTAAGCTCAGATAGGTAAAATATTCAATATGTGCAATTAAGAGAACTTGATTATTAATATTATAAACCGGTTGAATTTATATTTATTAGGTCAACTATGGAAGGCTATAACGGTAGACTAAATTTAAACGTATTATTCCATGTATTAATTCATAGTAAATAAAAAAATTTAATCTTTTTTGTAATAAAGGCACCGTATTTGCTTATGGACAGACTTCCTCTGGAAAGACTTTTGTAAGCATTGCATACTTCTCTTAATATTAATGATTTAGTACAAATAACATTTCTTAAGCTATTATTATCATTATTGTTATAGACTATGGTACGAATTCTCAAGACTTTAATTTCGTTAAAAAAAATGTATATAGTTTCAATTGATAATGAAATAATATGTGTAATATTCATTGCAGACAGGTATTATTAATTTTTTACACACTTATTTTTATGTTCAATTTTATCGATTTGTTTGAAAATCATATATAGGTACGGAGTCACAACCAGGAGTTATTCCACAAGCTGTCGATTCCGTATTTGAATACATCAAGGAGGTAAAAGAATATTTCATATGTCTGGCGTGTAAGTCTTTTTAATATGTTTATAATAAAATTGTATGGTTTTTTTTTTATATATTAAATATTTAGTGTAAAGAGAAAGAGTTTTTACTTCGGGTTTCTTATATGGAGATATATAATGAGACCGTACGCGATTTATTATGTCCCGAGACAGATGATTTACGAATTCACGAAGACAAGCGTGTTCGTATCATTTTATTTATTTTTAAATTCTAGGTTTATCAATTTGAATTTTGAAATATTTTCACATTTAAACACCAGCGTGGTGTATATGTAAGTCCTCTAAAAGAGGTCGTGGTGTCGACACCTAAACAAGTTATGAAAGAAATTTTAAAAGGAGAAGGTTTGTGAGTCAATAATTAATGATTATCATGTTTAAGTCACGATAGAGTGTTATTATAAACTGCCGGAAAATAACAAATTTAGCCAATCGCCATATGAGTTCAACTGATTGGAACGAAAGAAGTAGTCGGTCTCATACCATTTTTCAGATGGTAGGTTTAGTATTTGTCTATAATTGACAGCTACGTCTGTTAATCTATAGTACCATATTTATTCATTAATAGGTGGTTGAAAGTACTGCCAAAGGTTCATTGCCACCTAGACCAAATCGATATTCTACATTAGGACAAAAACAATCCGCATCTGTTTCAATATCTGTTTTGGTAAGAGTTTTACAAATATTTGATGCAGATTTAATAAGTATTTTCATTAGTTAATTAGATGTTTAATTTATATAGAATTTAATAGACTTAGCTGGTTCTGAAAAGGCAGCTAGTTCAGCCGATCGTCGAAAAGAAGGTGCTTTTATTAATAAAAGGTTTGCACTTGCAGATAAATTTTTGTATTTTTCACTATTTACGAAAATTAACTATATCTTAATTAAGTCTTTTGACACTTGGTACGGTGATCTCTAAGTTGACGGACAGCTCTGGGTAAACATTAATCGAATTGGAGAAATGCATTGGATTTTTTTTTCATAGACTTTTTTTTAATGTGTTTTTTTGGTAGTGGTCATATCCCATTTCGTGATTCAAAATTGACTCGAATTCTTCAGAATTCTCTCAGTGGGAATGCTCGGGTTGCTGTAATTTGTACTATATCTCCCTCTGCGATAAATCACGAAGAGTCACAGAACACCTTAAAATTTGCGGCTAGAATAAAAAAAGTGGTTACTAGAGCACAGACAAACACGGTATGTTGACCTGGCATTAAATTGAATCCTTTCAAATTTATTTTATTAACTTATTTTTTATTGCATAAATTTAGGTAATGGATGATAAAGCTCTATTGCAGAAATATCGTATGGAAATTGAAGAGCTTAAAACTAAACTTGAAAGAACTAATGATTCAAACCATCAAGAGAAGGAGTCAGAGTTATCTCAAATGTTGCAACAAGAAAAAGCTAAAGTACGTACATCAAATTTTGATGTACATCTTTTATTTCGATAAAGATATTATTTATCAATTCATACATTTTTACAGCATGAAGAAGAAATGATGGAAGCACAATTGGTTCGAACAGCTTTGAAAGAAAGAATCGATCATCTTACCAAGTTAATCTTGACAAATTCGTCTTTCTCGGGTAGTGCACAACAACCAACTGCGACACGTAAACCGGTAATCGATCACGCTAGTAGTGTTGGACAGGTTAGTCAAGACTATTTAACTTATTCATTATATTTATCTCTTTTAGCAGTTTATGCGTTTTATTATACATTTGTTATGCCAATTTCACAATATATGGGATATAGGTTAGTGAATTTGATCAACTCGAAAGTCAAGTTGAAGCAAAGAATGTGACAATCAACCTACTTAAATCTGATGTTGAGAGCAAGAATCAGATGATTGAACAATTAAAAACTGCAAATCAAAAGGCAGAACAATCTATAAAAGGATTAAATAATAGATTAAAAGCAAAAGATGAAGAATTGCAAAACCTTCATAATGAAAACCGTAAGTTAAAAACTGTTATTGAAGAACAAATAGGGAAGATTAGAAAATATGAAGACGATGGAAAAATCAATGGACACTCGCGTAGTGGAAGCCGAGAATATAATGAATTGAGCAAGACTATACAAAGGCAACGTAACATTATCAACGAGCTAGAAGAGGAAATCAAAGCGAACAAGTTGATTATTGCCAATCAAAAAGAAATGCTTCATCGGGCAGAGCTTTCGCAGCTAAAAAATAATGCGTCGATTAATCGTGTTAACGAGCGTCGGATGGAAAGTGATGAATATTCAACTCTAACTCGGGAGAATACGCGGGGTAATGGTTCGGGTAATGGAAAGAGTCTTGTGTTGAAAAACCATTGTTTAATTACCGATGAAGCGATTCTTATTTTCTTGTTACTTGCATTTTCGATTTTTAAAATAGTCGATTGAAGTGACCCTCAGTTTGTACATTTTCTCTTTTGCTATTAAGCCTATAGGTTAGTGCATAACATTATCATGCCTATCAGTGCTAGTGAAGGATACATAATACTTGCATTTGTTCAATTGTACAAAGATTCAATAACTGATAATAAAATCATGTCATCTAATTGCATTTAAAAAAAATTCTACTTTCTCCATTATAGAATTTGAAAGGTCTACTGCCAAGTAATACTACCTCGGGCAATTTTGAAACTTTAACAATATCTTACTTATAAGATATAAATTTTGGTATATTCGTATTTATTTTTAAAAAAATATTATTGATCTATGTATTATTAGTTCTCTTATATGTAATTAATATATACACTTTTTTTTGAAATATATAATTTCAATTTTGTATACTAGTTAATAGACTTTAATAGAAATTAAATATATCAATTAAAATACAATATTAGAATTTGTTTATGACATGAATTAAGTATTAAGTGTTAATTTGAATTATTATAAGATAAACAGGAGTTATGCAGTGATAATACGTAAAGTGAGTGAGTATATGGCGAAGCTAACACTTAGTACTAACAAAAGTTTAGCAAAAATTTTGATTTTGATATTTATATAAATTTTATAATAATTATATATAAAAAAAAAATCAAGTTTTATATAAGTTATGTAATGTTACTTAGAGGCTATGGTTTTTAATTTCGTGAGGGTATTGTGGCGAACGATATGCAGATTGACAATCATCATAATACGTAACGTAACGATTTTCTTTGGCTAATAATCATTTTACATTGAACAGGATGGTTTACTAAGCGAATCGAATTTCATCCACTAAGTAAAGTTACTGGAAATGCTATTTTTTAGATACCCTTAAATGTTGAAGCAATTGGTTAACTTTCATTAATTGACTTACACATTATACGTTTTGGCGCAGAATATAAATTTTCCGCACCAAGAAATATAACATGAAACTTGACTAATTACCGTAAAAGTTAACCAAATTACTTCAAAATTTGAATATATCCAAAAAACGGCATCTCCAATAACTTTACTTAATGGATGAACTTCGATTTGCTTAGTAAAAAACCATGTTTCCTTATAATATGTTCAATTCGTCACAATACTCACATTCGCCATAATACCCACACTCACCTTATATAAAAGAATACCAAAATTGATAGATTATGGTTGATACTATTGGCTGTCATCCATTTTGTAATATTTTGTAATCCAGGACTATGATAAATAATGTTCTGAATTGAAGCGAGACCACTTTTTTACAAAAAAAAAAAAAAAAACAAGAATAGCTCTAAATTTTAATTAGAAAACCACCTCAGCATACCATATTACCGCGAAATAACGCGCAGGGCTGAAATTATGAATTCCGGCCTAAATTTAAGCTTAATTCGGGCCGAACCTCGAAATAACGTTATTTCGCGGTAATACTTCCCTTGTTAAATTTTAGCGTTAGCGTTATATTCTAACCCTGCGGTTTTCTTAGCTTTATGTGACTTCAAATCATCACATGGGCACGAGGTTGTGATGCTAAATCATCACTAGAGTTTTAATTATACCGGTATAATAAAAAGGGTAGTATAGCACCGTATAACCAGGGTTGTAAAATTACGGTAATTTATTGTAAGTTACCAAAATGGTAAGTTACTGGTAAGTTACTGTAAGTTACCGTGAAAGTAATCTATGCTTTATTCCGAAAGTATCCGTGCTTCATGTCCGTTAATTGCCTACTATTACGAAATTTACGGACTTTCAAATGTGTATTTGGTATCCTACCATGGTAACTTACGGTAACTTACCGTAATTTACCGGTAACTTACCACGGTAAGTTTACCACTAACAACCCTGCGTATAACATACCGTTATTAGGGTTGGCATTACATAAATTACATTTTACGTTACATGAAATTACATTATAACTTACGAAATTGTAATGTAACTTTACGTTAAATATTGCATTGTCACATGATAATTGCACCAGCGTTAAATAAGTTTTGCCGACATTAATAGTTATCCGTCATTATGTTCGGAACTGTAATTTTATACTTACTTTGATGCCAGATTTTGTAATTTTGATTTCTGAAACTTTCACCGATTTACGTAAATTTGCCAACCCTAACCGTTATACGGCATGGTTCAGAATAGAGTTTGGAACCGGGTTTATTTTTCACATGTTAAACCCGGTTTTAATATATGAAAAATAAAACCGGTTCCAAGCTCTAGTTCAGAATCTTTCGGTTGTTTATATCAGAAACCTTCGGAAAATTTTGCAATCTCGACTTCGCACAGATAAAGCAATTTAATTGGCAAACTATTTTTAACTATTGGTATTATACATATACCCGTGTGTATAATACTAGGTATTATACTAGTATTATATGGGCTGCCGTCAATAGAAATCAGGTAGATCTACATTTGAAAAAAAAATTAATGCCTTAGCTTTCACAGCTCATATCTCGATAGATTTTAAAGCTATCTTGATTGTTTAATATTCAAAAGAATTCTTAGATCGTAAGCTTTCTTTTGAATATCAAACCATCAAGATAGCTTTAAAATCCATTGAGTTATGAGCTGTGAAAGTTAAGGCATTAATTTTTTTTTCAAATGTAGATATGCCTGATTTCTATTGACGGCAGCCCATATATACCAATAGTATAATACAGTATAGGTAATCTTTAAAACCCTAATCAAAAGTAAAAATCTAAGATTTTCAATTCAATTTATTCAATTCTATACATTTTAAAATAAAAATTCCGAACGATTATAGTATAAAATATTAAGCTTTCGAAGAAATCTAAATTTTCTTCGTATTTCAAAAAGTTAGTATGCCCTTGTTGACGTCTTAGACCAAATATTTAGATACTTTTAAAAAATTCACAAAACCAAAATTCTTTAAAATTAGTTTCTTAATGTAAATTTTTCAAAACGGACATTCGTTTATTATAATCGTGATATGTTACACCGTATCATGATTTTCTATTGGTTAATTTGCTGTTTACCGTCACGTGGAGATGTTGGTAGGCCAATCATATCATAAAATCTCCGTGCCTTCCACCCTAATTAGGTAATTTGTTTTGACTGTCATATTACACCCGATCTTAAATTTTGATTGGTCAAAATTACAAGAGGTAAACAATTTTTCGTGCCATCTAAAATTGATATAAATAAGATTCAATTTCCCTTGCACTTTTCAAATTTTCTCTTTTATTTATACACACCCTCTAAAAATGTCTAACCAAAATATCAATAACTGCAAACGTATGTTCGATAATCCTATACACCAATCTTAGCAATTTAAATCCGATTTAATAGAATATGAGAAGAAAATTATCTTCCCTATTGAAATTAAAAGAAATCTCGTGGTCGATCATTTAGTTTGATAAGGATTTACATTGGAAAGTACCCATGTTAGAGATGCAGTGAAGCAAATTTATAATTATATGATTTCACTGCATCTTCAATATGGTGTACTTTCCAGTTACGATTATCATTGGTTCCTACGCCGCCCAAAAGATAATCCTACGGAGCCACTTATTTCCGAAGCACTTCCATAAGAATCTACATCGCCAACAGTGCTTCAGTCATACGCCTACTTAACCTATCTCGCGGATGAGGATTCTATGGCACCCCATCCTAATATAATTTCAGAGCGAACTAGGGGGGCTTGTAGTTCGTAATTATTGAAATCGATCACATGTACTTGAATATTAATAGGTTATATCTATTTTTTCAGTATTTTCTTTTTAATTTTCTGGGTTTAATTTTCTTGTTTGGGTTTTAAATTTTTATTAGGCGCAATGAATATCGATATATGAAATGTGATGTTTAAACTGTGTCAATTTGTATTATTTTTCAGAAAAATTTTTTACTCGAATTCTGTGTTTATAAAATTAAAATAAAAATATATATATTGGAATTGAATAGACAGTTGTTGATTGGATAAATTATTTTATACTTTCTGGTAATATTATCACTAAAATAATCGAGATTAAATTAAACCTTGCTTTAACATATTAAAGATAAGACCAACCTCAACTTTAATATATGTTAATAGCACCGCATAGCTAGTAACTGTAGATCGAAAAAATTTATGCGGTTGACTTATCAGTTATATTCAAAGTTGATAAATACCAGTTACTAATAGTAAATCTCTCTACTTGGATGAACTGAATCAAAGTGCTTTTTTTTCAGTAATGGTAAATCATGCGACTAGTAACCCACCAGTCTCCCTATGTATTTCCAAATCACAAGATCATGTGAGCAAATAAATATAAATTTTAATTATTTTCTTATGCTTCAACAATTTTTTTATTTAATAATATATAAAAGTTAGCTCATAACAACCATGTATTCCACCCATGTATAGAAAAAAATCAATAATAATCTAAATTATGGTTAGCAATTTTCTACTTTCGATCACGGTAGCTGATGAATGGATTATCTTCATCGTCCAAGTTTGCCAACAAATCATCAATACTTAATTCATTATTTTCAATAGTAGATGTACTTGTCACCGCGGTCTTATCAACCTTTGGCCTTCCACTTGTTGAAGTAGGAGTACGATTTACAGAATTCCCAGGTGTAACAGTTGATGTATTGCTTGAATCGGTTACCCGAGTGGTAGCAGTATCGGATTCATCGTCCCTTCCTCTCATAAGATTTAATAACATCTGTCGATCTTGCTCCGTAGGATTAAAGTCCGTATCATAATATGACAAAAAATCATTCTCTACTTCATCATCAAAATCAATTTCATCATGGTTCTCAGGATCATATCCTAACTGTGACGTAAGTGTTGTAAGATAATCAACGTTTGATTCCACAGCATTTATTCGAGTTTCAATTTCATGAAGACTTTCTTTGTGATTTGTGTGTAAATTCGGTAAATTTGGCGATGCAGGAGAGACAGTTACTGCTTGTTGTTGAATTAAATTTGAATTATTATCAGCAGCAGTGGATGATGGATCATTTGAAGGTGTGATTTGATCAGGCTGAAGTAATGTGGAAAGATCTGCTGCATCCAAAAAATCAGCTGGATCGTTTATTTCATTTGATGGTAATGACGACGCTGCTGGTAAAGCGTTATAAATATCGAATTGCGACAAATTGTTTAGTGTTGACGGATTATTTACTGCAAGTGATGCCAATACTGACAATGAGGCTAAAATTTAAATAATTTTGGATTTTTTCAGTAAAAAGAAAAAAAAAAATAGAATCAAATTTGATATGTATACTGATATAGAATACCTGGATTGTTCATATCCAGAATTAAACGAGCTATATCATTTTCGGTATTTGGTGAATTGGATGAAGCACCTTGTCCACCGTCATTGCCTAATGCCCAATTTCCTGTCCCCACCATTTCCTGATTTTCATAATTCGTATCAGAATTTCCAATTAATAATCTTCGTTTTTTTTGGTACGATTGCTCTCTTTTTATCAGCCGAAAACACTGATGCAAGAAAACGTAGAATTTTATCAATGGTCTCTTGCTGACGTCGATGTCTGTCACGCGCTGTCATGGTTTCTTGCCATAAAATTTGATTATCTCTTTGTATATTCTTCAAATCTGCGCTAATAGTCATTTGATGTTTCTTGATTGATACAATTTCGTTCAAGATGTGGTTAATATCAATTTCGTTTGGTTCTTTGATGTTTTCAGCATCTTTGCCTTTCTTGCGAGTAACAAAATATAGAAGGTCTGGCTGATTCCGAAGAAAATTTGTGTTGCTAAATTCCCACTGTTCTGATTGTCCATCGGATTGAAGTACACCTTGCTGAAGATGCGGTATCTTATGAAACCCATACATATTTAATTGTCTGACAAAACTGCTAAAATTATTATGTTTAAAAAAGCGAGGAAGAACTTCTTTGGCGAAATCTTGAGGTCGTTTTACTAAATAATGAACAAAGAAGATAATTTTAAAAAATATTCTCGACCGAAAGAGACTCAAGCGGATTTTATGCTTTGATCTGTGAACAATTGCAATTTTTTTCTTGAATTGATAACAAATATATTAAATGAATCAAGGATTATTCCAAAAAGGTGTATTTACCCAAGAAGGAGTTTCCACTCTCCGACCAAGTGATCAGCTCATTAGACTGAGGATCGTTCACCATACTAAATATATACATATATAAGTCTATCTCTTGATAGTTAAGAATGCAAGATCTATCACCGAAAATTCTATGGCTTACTTATAAAGCTTATTCAAAAAGGCTGGTACGCTTCGATTGCCAGTCCTTGGAGACCTTGGAGCATTTCGTAAATGGGGGGCAGGAAGGGAAAGATTTGTCGTATTTCCTGGTGAGCCTGGAGAGCCGTAATCTAGAGTTTCCGATGGTGATTGCGACGGGGCTGGGCGCTTCTTTGGTATCGTAGTGGTTGAAGCAGACTGCGGTTGCTCAGACTGTGTTGTCTGTTGCATTTCTTCCAAAGTTTAATACAAAATTGTTGGAATAGATTTATTTGCTATTCTTTAAACTTTGTTTTTATAAAAGTCTAATTGTGTGATACCTATAAACCCATAAGGATGACATATTAAGGCTTATGCAAATTCTCATCGGCCAAGACATTTGGTGGACCTGGCACGTGACCGGTCTTAAAAGGTGTTTAATTAGCGAATAAAATTTTGCCTAATAAAATTATTTTCGAATACAGTACGTATTAAAAAAAAAATAATTCGGAGAATATGAATGATTCAATTCCGATTATAAGTTATCTGGATATTCGTAAGAATTGCGAATTATGTGTTGAAATTTACTTTACTTCTAACCACTAATCTCTTCAAAGTTATTTTTTCAAAGATTAAAGTATTTGCGAAGGTGATGTGACTAAAAAAATATATATCTGTGAAAAAGTTATAGGTATAAGATATACTGTACGTAGTACGTACGTTTTATTATCAGTTACGTATCAGGTATGAAATTTTGTATACGTATAACTACGTTAGGGTTACGTAGAATTAAGGTTTGGAAGGGCGTAAATTTTAAGAGCATCATATAGGTGTGTATTTCTATTTTTTACTCCTTAAAAAACAATTTGCAGCCAACCATTAATAGATTAGAGCTAGGATTAAGGGTTAAGGTTAGAGTTGGACTGTATGAATTATTTTTTGTTACGTAGAATCTCGAAGGTGGTTTTTTAGTAAAATTTTAAAAAGTTATTTTCATAACACCGTCCCTTATGCTATATCTCAAAAATGTACTAAGTAAACAGGGTCGGGTACTCTAAGTAAAAATGTTTAAGACCCCTAAAAACCTCGAGAACTGAAATCGGGACCTTATAATATACATTATATATATATTATATAAAAACCTCCTACGTATTCATCTTAAAGCTAACTCTATATAGGTGTTATGAATATAATATTTCAGGTAAAAATTATTATTTAATAATAAGAACTTTGTATACAGTATAATACCGACGATTTCGGAGGTGAAATTCACCGGGGTGCTATATCTACTAAGTAAACGGGATCGGGTAAATGTTCAGGTCCCTCGAAAACCTCACGAGAACTGAAATTGGGACCTTATAATCAAATCTACATTATGTTATATAAAACTCCTCCTTTTATCTTAAAACTGCATCCTAACCCTAAAAATTTTTAGGCTGGTGAATTTCACCTCTGGTTAAATATAAATTATTTCCGTATATTTTTATATTTTAAATTTACTAAAGTACAGTCAAACCTCTTTATAATCACACATTTGGGATACAAAATGTGTGATTGTAGAGAAGTGTGACAATTATAGAGGTTAAATTTAGAGGTTTGCTATTTATCACTTGTGATCATCACCAGTGTTACTCCCCGAAAACCTTAGAAAAACTAAAATCAGGACCTTATATCAAATCTACATTATATTATATAAAACAAAAACTATACTGGTCCAGTGGTAAATATGAAGTAATTTTCAAATTTTCAGGCATTTATACGTAATAAATTAATATGCAAAAACTTTTAGTCAAATCAATTATATAAATATATATATACATTATATAATAAACTATATTTAAATATACTATTTGACCAGTACAGATCCTTTGACCGGACTGGTCAAATTGGTCTGGTCCAATGGTCAAACTGGTCTGGTCAAGCCAACACTGGTTTAGAATGAAGGCTTATACTGTACATATGTAGACAGTTGAACTTCCCAAAACTGATAATAGGACTTCCCTCCCGCTAGATTTTGTATCAATTTCGAGAGGTTATCAGACTTGAAAATTTACAGATTATTATTAAATTTATGTAGCAGAAATGGACTTGAATCAATTTTGGGAGGTCCAACTGCATGTACTATTATATATATATATGTATTATCGTTATATGATTAAATAGATAAACCACATAATGTTAGACACATGGATGAGTTGACATCTGAAAATTTGTATTATCATTATTATAGACAATAATTTCTTCGATTGTGGGACGCATATTTGGATCTCGTTGGAGCATAGACTTTATCAAAGAGATCATAGAATCTGAAATATCATCAAATACGAACCCGGCCAAATCACCTTGGCGCAATCTCCTCCAATCACTACCAAAATGTGGAAGTGGCGTTTTACTAACCATTTCCAAGAGGACAATTCCAAGACTAAAAATGTCTGCAGGTTTGTCATAATGTCCATTTAAAATCTCAGCGGCAAGATATCTCCGATCACCCTCACTCTCCAAATTAGGTTTTGCTGGCCAGGTTGAAGCAAGGCCAAAGTCACCAATTTTAAAAGTTCCATCTGATGCCATAAAAATATTCTCAGATTTTAAATCTAAATGCATAATATTGTGATTATGAATGTGCTTAAGACCAAGTGCAATATCCATAAATATCTTCCAAATTTGAGATTCACTGAGAACATTATTGGCAATAAAGTCTAAAAGTGTACCATTATCACATAATTCTGTTTGGAGGTGAAGGTGGCCATGCTGCTCCCAGGCGGCAACTAATTTAACGCAGTTTTGATGTGATCCAAGCAGCCACATGATTTCGACTTCACACAAAGAACGGATTCTAGAATTTAGAGAAACGAATGGATTTTTTGTCTTTTTAATGACATATAAAGCTCCAGTTTTTTTATCTTTGACCTTATACGCAATAGAGAATTCCCCAGTTCCAATAACAGAAATCACATAGAAATTTGAACTAAAATAATCCATTTCATTTAGTTCGCAAGACTCCGGATGATTAAATTCTATAAATAAAGAATGCATTAAAAAACTTTTTTTAAGAAAATGGATTTAATAATTTGTTCAATATATACCTCTGTTTTCATGTGCGTACTTTTGGAAATAAGCTTTATCTAGTATATGTGCATATTTAGTTGCATATTCATTAATCATTGATGGTAAAGGTTTTAAATCTTTATCCATTCTTTTCATTAAAACCGGTGTGGAGACATTTGGTCTTTTTAATATCAAGACTGGAGATTCTATTTCTGTATTAGAATGTAACTCTTCATTATTTGACTTAGTAGTAGGTGCCCAAAACGACGCATCATTGTCAGGAATTGAATGTTTTGTTATAGATGAATTTAATACTGGAGAATATTCATCATCATTTATTTCATCGTAAAATGGTAGTACATCATCTTTTATCTGAGGAATGAAAGGAACTTTTCTTTCAGGAGTTAACACATTATTCCTATCTTTAATAACGAGGGATGGTGTACGTTGATCGGGAGTTTTATTAACGTTAGATCTACTAAATTTTCTAATTGATGGAGATCTTAAATATTTAGACCGATCCCTATATAAACTGGCCTTGTCATTTGAACAAGAATTTTGAGGAGAGTCACCAAATGATGAAGCATAGATTGACCTAGTTCGTACTGGAGTGTTATAAATATTATCATATGAAGTGTCTCCAGGAAAATTTGTCCTTAAAAATGTGGTAGGATTTGATTTATATGAATAATCAGTAAAATCAGAGGTTTTTGCAGTTGACATTGTCCAGAATAATATTTCATCATCGATTGCCTTTTGAAATGATGCACTAAAACCTTCAGGTGATCCTTCAGGAGATGAATTATAATTTGAAGATTGCGGAGTTCCAGCAACAGGTGATGTTGGAGCTGTATAATAAACTAACGGTGAAGGACTTTCCGAAACTGAAGAGGGCGTGGCAATGTATGCTTCCTTATTTGCTTCATATGTGCGAAGGCGTTTCTTGAATAAAGGGGAAAATGATAGCGTTCTTTTGGGCTTCATGATAAAGCTTGAGTTAAAATCCATACCAGACGTAAATTATCATCATGAATAATTGTAATAAACGCGAATATTTATCTGATTTACGCGAATTTCACGTGATTAATGTTTATACGTCCAAATTTAGTAATAACAGAACATCTAATCATATGGGCTAGGTGCTAAAAAAAAGGACCAAATTGACTATTTTTTCAAATCAATTTAGAATAAAACATAAAAGTAGTTGTATTAATAAAATTTTGCTGTATTGCTTTTTAAATCATTATTCATAACCAGAGTAATAGCGTAGGAATTTTTAGCCAACTAATTTCTGCGGATTGAATCATAAGTTCTGTCGCATTACATAGCTATCTTAACCAGTGTTACGTATAAATTCAAAAGATTTTTATTGGTGCAAACGCAAAAAAAAAAGAATAAATCAATGTACTACAGTGCGCGACACTTAAAGGCTACATTTGTCCCATTTTTAAAATTTAAAATTTTAAAATTTTAAATTATTTAAAACGTTGATTTTTGATGTTTTTAAAGTTACTTAATTTTGATTGGTCAAATTTCTTGAATTTTGATTGGTTAAAATGGGTTTAAAATTTTATTATATAAATTTAAGCTAATTTAATTGGAGTTTTTTTTTCAATGTGTCCCATTTTTCATGTGATTATAAAAATACTATATTTTTTTTTTTGTTGTTAAGGTGAGGCCTTGCTCATATCTTTTATTGGGTAATTTATACAAGTAATTACATAGAAACTATATAAAACTTAATTTGTATACAAACAAATAAATATAAATTACATGCA